CCCATAAAGTGCATTTTATAATCGACCATAGGTTCAATTAGCACGAGGTTAAGGTTAGAAATGGGAACTACGAGAGCGAGATACTTATCTTGTCATGGCCAGCGGAGAAATGAGGCCGAGTCATGGTCAGTATTCGACTCGTGGCCTATATCCATGTGTCTTGGCATTAGCCAATCAAAATTTTGGTCGTTATATGCGAATCTGACGAAATTATCGATAAAACAGGTGTTATTATCAAGTTGATTATCGTTCTTGGTTGGATCTGCAGACGGCAGTTTTTTGGCATTCTTGGCGGTCTTTTTCTTTCTTTTTGTTTAAATTTATCCCGTTTGAATCTTACAAAAATTGATTTCCTTACATTATCCCTCTATTTGATGTTACATGACCTAGGACATTAACACCAAATCTTGACCAATAATGGAAATCTAAGTTACATATAAATCAAACTATTTTCTCATTTCCTGACTTGAGACTTAAACAAGTAATATCATTACTAAACATACAATTATAGAATGATGTCAATAATTTATAATTACATAGTCGATGACAACCTCTCAAGTGACTCAAAAAAAAAATCAAAACTGCCCAACAGAATGCTACTATAATCCTTTACATGTATAATACTTTAAATTACGAAGATAATACTGTTGTATTCATAAGGGTCCAGACTGAGAGATTCACGTTCAAGAGTCGCCAGAGAACCATCAAAGTTCGGCCTGGTAATATTTCCTTAAACTTAGTCTGTTATATGTTCCTTTAATTTTCTCTTTATCAGAAATGTCAGCCAAAACAAAAGCATTCGGACCTTTCAAACTCACGATTTGGTATGGTCCTTCATATAGATGAAAGAATTTATGAGTCACCCTATCCGTTTGACTCGACAAATGAGGTACCCTCAACAAAACCTGATCCCCAATCTCATAAAGAATACTGGATTTTTGTTTTTGCTGTTTTCCTCTTTGAGAAAATTGTTTAAGGAGATTTTCTTTAGCAAGAATTAATTTTAGATTATGTGGTACTTCCGCGGTAGGAGGAAATTTGATAATCTGTTGGATTTTATCAAGGGAATTCTTTCCAAAATGTAATTCATAGGGAATATACCCTGTACTGCAATGGGTGGTCACGTTAAGCAACTCCTCAATTCTTTTCACATGTTTCCCCCACTTTGTGTGTTGATCGGAGCAATAAATTCTAAATAACTTCCCCAATTCTCGCATAATTCTCTCGGTTGGATTGGACTGAGGATGCCTAATCGAGGAATAGATGACCTTAATTCCTAATTTTTCTAATGAATTTTTCCAAACAGGAGAAGAAAACTGAGTGCCATTATCTGACAAAATTCGGTTTGGTTTACCAACATCCACGAAATAATGCTCACATAACTTATTCAACACAATCCTAGTCGTAGCCCTTTTGATGGAATAGAGCCGGACTAGCTTAGAGAAAGCATCCACCACCACAAATAAGTACAGGACACCCCCAACTGACCTGGGCAGTGGTCCATAAAAATCTACTGTAACCAGATCCCCAGGCCTATCAGCCCTTACATGCTCCCATTCCCCTTCAGCCGCACGTGACATGGATTTTACCCGCTGGCATAAATCACATTCTCTAACCAACTTTTTTACCATTTTCGATAAATTTCTCCAATAATAAAAACGCTTCAGGTGAATAGTAGTCTTGAAAACCCCACAATGTCCCAATCGTTCATGCTCAGACTTAACCAGAGGAATCTGCAGTACACTAGGCACCACCAGACACCAGCTCTCACCTCCAGACTTCCTGTGGAACCAGATACCTTGATATTGACTAAAATCAGGACCTATCAGCTTATCCTGGTTTCGACTAACTAATTCCTGGATTTTCTCATCACTCGCTTGCATATCCCTGATCTTCTCAAATTCAACAAAAACATTCGACTCAAGTTCCATTCGACAAATCTCAATCAAAGCGTCATTGAAATAATCAAAAGACGTCTCATTATTATTCCAAGACAAAGTTGATATAATGATTTGCTGTGTACTTTCATCGATAAATTTTCCTTCGGGGTTCCGACTGAAAAAATCAGCGACAGTGTTATCCCTCCCGTTGCAATGAGTAACGGTAAAATCATACTCTTGGAGTAATAAACTCCACCGACAAAGCCTAGCTCCCAGAAATTGAGTTTTATCTAGAAAAGTCAACGCTTGATGATCTGTGATGATGTGAAACAATTTTCCAATCAAAAAGACGCGAAATTTTACGACGGCATAGATAATGGCCAGGAGTTCTTTTTCTGTAGTAGTGTAATTTTTCTCAGCTGGGATCAAGCACCTACTAACGATCGAAATAACCTGATGATCCCCTTGATCATCCTTCTGATAAAGGACACCACACACGCCAGTATCCGATCCGTCCGTTTGCACGTAAAATGGTCTATCCAGATTATAGTGGGATAAGTAAATGACCTTAGCAAAATTCTCTTTCAAAAGTTGATAATGTCTCGAATATTCTCCATTCCATTCCCACTTATTGTTTTTACTTAATAATTTTCGAAAGGGTTCCATATAGTTGGAGTGGTTCAGGCTAAAGTGACGATAATAATTACATACTCCGAAGAACCTTTGTAAATCTGTAAGATTTTGAGGCTCCTCAAAATTTATAATTTTGGCTAATTTATCGTTATCCGGTCTAATCCCTTTTGCACTCAACATGAATCCAAGAAAAGGGACCTCTAGTTGACAGAATAAAGCTTTGTGAATACGCAATGTAAAATTGTGCTCAGATAACCTCTCAAATACAAACTCCAGACTTCTGAGATGTTGATCGAATGTCTGGGTGGCGACCAGAAGGTCATCAACGTAACTCGTCAGAAAACTACCACAATTATTTCCTAGTGCCATACGGATGGCCCTCATGAATCCGCTTCCCGCGGTCTTCAATCCAAAAGGAATCCTGGTGAATTGATAAAGCTGTCCATCAAAAAGAAATGCAGTGTACTGCCTCGATTCATGGTCTAAGGGCACTTGCCAGTAACCCTGAGTCAAGTCCAGAGTAGATAAATAATTTTTTCCGTGAAAATTCTGCATAATTTCCTCAATCAATGGAGGGGACTCATTATCACCTTCAATTATATCGTTAAGAAATCTGGCATCTAAACACAATCTCACCGTTCCATCCTTCTTGATCACAATTCGGAGTGGATTACAGAATCCACTGATAGACAGTTCGATAATTCCATTTTTCAACATTTTAATTAATTCCTTTCTAACTGCCTCTCTTATTGCAAATGGCACCGGGTAGCTCTTTTTAACAAAGGCTTTACTGTTTTTTAGTTTGATTCTATGTTGGTAAATCTGAGTGCACCCGGGCTTATCAGAGAATAATATCTGATATTTCTGAATCAGTTGTAGCACAGCATCCCTCTGGTTAGGAGACAGTGCCGTGAGCCTTGGCGCGATCAGTCGAATCGTGTCCTCCCAGGATTCACCCCCACCCACATCTAACATCTCTTCGACAGTTTCATCATCGTATTCTTCCAGATTATTAACCGAATAAATTGAACAATCAGAACACAAATTTTCATTTACTGCCTTATTATCAAAACAGATTTGACAGTAGTCATCATCAATCTGCATCATGCTAATGTGAATAATTTCAAAATTATTTAGTTCTACCTTGGTGGTATTTAATTCATTGAACAATGAATCCAAATTCCACTCATTATCCGATAAATCACTCTCAGTTAACACTCTGCTCACCGATTGAGTACGATCCACTGATTCTGAATGTTGATTAGCACGATTATTTATGAAATGAGGTTTTTTATTAATACGATTGTCCCTAACATACTTTGAACAATTATGAAAATCTTCAGACCTTTGAACCTCGTCTAAGGACGATTGGTGTGGTCTCGGTGATTTTATTTGGGATTGAAGATCCCCTGGATTTTTCTTCAACTCTGATCTGTTACACTCATCAACCAATGAGTGGTCAGAATCTACTTGATGTTGATTTGTGATGATTTTCACTGTTTGGATTTCTGAATGACCGTTACCTGAATGAGGGTGAATCCCTCTGGACCCGTCCCGTCCGAACGACACAGTTCCCCCCGAGAGACTCCGCCCCCACAACTGAATTTTATTTTGCTCATAGTCAATGATGGCGTTCTGATCTTGTAGCCAGTTATTGCCAAGAATAATATCACTAGTCAAAAATGGAATTACCAAGAGAATACAGTTCACCCTAGTATTATCAACCTTCATCTCTAGAAATACCTGTTTCCTAACTCCAACACCTTTCTTCGTCACAGCTGATACTATTTTAACATTACTCACTGGTAGCTCTTTCACTGGAATTTTACTTTTAATTTGATTGTATAAGTTTTCTGATAAGCACGTCACCTGACTACCAGTATCCACCAATGCATCAACCTGAATATCACCAATCTGAACTCTCAGATACGGACACCTCTGAATCTTGGCCCTCGGTTTATCGGGCTGAGACCAATCACCATCCACATCCCTCAACAAATCATCAACAAAATCGAAATGGCCCTGGCACGATGGTTTCTTTCGTTGCATCGTGCCCTTGCCTAGTTTAAATGACATTTAGAAGGTTCATTCCTATTCTGACCAAATGGAGGTATACTTGGTGGAGGGATTCTTACATCTGGAAGCTCAAACTGGCAACTGATCTGATGCCCTGATACACTATTCATTGCACGACAATTAAATACAGCCCTATCATTGTTATTTCGAAAATCGAAATCCTTTTGATTCGAGCTATAGCCGTGGACTAATCTTTCCCTGTGATCACCCTGTGTGGTTCGAACATGATTACACGATGGTTTTTGAATATAATTTGAGGTTAAAACTTCCCTATCACCCATCATATGATCATCCTGACCCGAGTTACTAGACATTTGCAAACTGTTGATTTTATTTGGAATGATATTTTGACTACCTAAATTTCCTGGACGCCAGTCTCGACTTTTTTCTTGAGTTGCACTGTCTTCTTGTGAACTATCTATCTGAGTCAATGTCCTAGCTATCGCTTCGGTATCATTAAAATCAATTGAAGAGACCATCCCTCTAACCTTGTATGGCAATTGTTGTAAAATAGTGAAATTTATTTCGTACGGAGTCAGAGGTGGATCAAAATGTCTTGTTTCGCGGATCTGTTGGTAGAAATATGTGTGGAGCGATCCATCTTTATGGATGTACCTACGTGCTGCCCATCTCGTTTTAAATCTGACTCTAATTGGGATCGAATAAAATTCTTTCAAGAAAGCCTCCTTAAATTCCTCATATATTGTGAAACTATGCTTTGTTATCAAGTACCAGATTTTTCCTTTTCCCTCGAACAATTCATCCAACACTATCAGCTTTTGATTTGGCTGTACATTTTTTGACACGAAATATCTATCGAGATCCTCGAGAAAATCCAGTGGATTCACATCATCTCGAAACTTTGGTGGATTGATCTTTAAATTTAAAAATTGGAAGTGGTTTACCAGGCCGGTTACAAGACGATCATTGGTAGCTGCCGGGTTAACATGAGGCTGAGGTATTTGTGGTGGCTGAACATTGAAGCCAACATTTTGCCGATTGATATTAACTGCATCCTGAGCCGCATCAACGGCTGCAGCTTGTTGTTGCCTTTGATTCTCATTGTGTTGCCGTTGAATACGTGCAGCATCCTGTTGTCTTACACGCTGTTCATCCAGATCAGCTCTCAACTGTACCAACTGCTCACGAAGTCCCGCCAGCTCATTCCTTTCTCTTTCAACCCTTTCCTGTTCGGCTCTCAGTCTGGTCCATTCCAATTCCATCTCTTCTCTAGTTACTTCTCTGTTCTCATCAGGCATTTCTGACCTTCTTCCTCTGCGATTTTTTGAAATAGAATTATTATTTTTTTTTACAGATTTTTTATCTTCCGGTTTCTTGACTGACTCTCCGGTATCACTATTACTATTTACTTTAACTCTTGATTTTGATCTCGTTCTTCTAGGTGAAAATCCTTTTACTGTTTTACTCATGAAAGCACACGATTAGGTCTGTGCATCGAGCTCCACGTGGTTGGGCGCCAATGTAATATACAGAAATGATTTAAATTTGAACTACTGATTTTAATAATTTTTTCTTTCGATTATGAGAGTTGGAATGATTCAGAATTTATGTATGGAAAGAAAATCAATCAACAATTTAATGAAATTAATAAAAATGATAAGACCCAAGGAAAAAATGATTATATAAAATAATAATCGATCAGAAATTATCAAAATATCAATGATAGTAATAAATGAAACAAGTATTAATAAAATTACCAATATGTCAAGACAATTTGAAACTAACAAATGAAGGATTAAAAATATCATCCCAAAAGATCAAGAACAAATTTCTATCTACTTATAACCATAAATAAAATCCTCAATACAATGGTCAATGATTCGGAATATCAGTCAAGAAATCCAATTAAATATAAATTTTAAATATAATATTGAATGAAAATTGTATGTTTCTTTGGACATTCAAAATAATACAACTTAATATTATCAACAGGATTAATTTCAGAAAATAAATCAAGTCAATCTCAATCATCACGAGTCTTCATATATTTCTGACGAATTTTATATTGTCAAAGATTATTGATTTTCCAAGTCATGTTTATCGCAAATATCACAAACGATTGTTTTAATTATTATCCTTTAATCAATTATCGTTAATTTATATGAAAAAAATATTTCAATATGCTATTCTTCTCATTTACTCATTATTCCTCAACAAATTATCGGTATATTCTTTCATAACCTATCAATCTTCATTCAGAGTATTGCGTCAACGTTCTTATAAATAAACCATCATAAAATTTTAACAAACGACAA